AAAAAAAAAAAATCAGCCAGATGTGGTAGCACGCCCCTGTGGTCTCAGCTACTTGGGAGGCTGAGCTGGGAGGATCACTTGAGCCCATGAGGTTGAGGCTGCAGTGAGCTCTGATGGCACCACTGCACTCCAGCCTGGGGGACAGAGTGAGAGAAGTTTATGTCCTGGAGTACCCCGTTGGGTCTCCCTTGTGGCCCGCCTCGCGTCTTCTTAAACTCTGCATGGCATATGTCTTCTGTTCTTGCCTTAGGAGTTCTGTTTGCTCAGCCGCCGGCCCCCACACCACCCTCTGCTTCCAACAAAGGTGGTGGTGGCGGCAGCAGCAGCAACGCAGGCGGCCGGGGAGGAAACACCGGAACCAGTGGTGGCCAGGCCGGGCCAGCAGGGCTGTCTGGACCCTCCACATCTACCTCAAATAACTCGTTGCCTTAACCGCATCACTCCCCACCCGCCACCCACCCCGGAGCCCGCCGGCCTGGGCAGGGGGTCCAGGTGGGCCACGCAGGGGCCAGGATGGCGGAAGATACGGGTGGGGAGGGAAGATACCCAGAAAGGAGCCACAGCTGACGCCAAAAAGAAGAGAAAAAAATATATATATATATACGTATATATATAAAGAAAATTTAATAAAACAGGGGAAAACCAAGGAACACTTGAATTTCTCAGGTTTTGGACATTCAGAGAGATGAATTGTGAGAACAGCAAAGGAAATCCATCAGAAAAACAGAAAGAGGCAGACGTTTCTCAGGGCATTCCGGCAGCCCTGATGGACCGAAGGCTCTGGTGTCTGGTTCGGCCCCACTGCAGCGTGGGCCGATCCCATTTACCTCAAACATCCCTGCACTGTGTGTTTTCATTTTTGTCTGCTTTAGTTCTCTTTTAGTTTCTATTCACCACACACTCACCACTCCCAGCTTCTCGTGTCCAGTGAGACCCCTGAACTAAGATCACTGAATTTTTTTTTTTTCTTGTTGCTTTGGGAAATGTTTTTTTTTTTTTTCTCCATAGGGTTTTTAAGAGGTTTCAGGGGTTTTGTTGTGTAAATATTCTATTTTATTCTTGGGGGGATCAAACCTTAGGAAAAGGATATCTATATATCTATATAGCTATATATTTGTGTTCCTTCAGGGAAACTGGTCTTGAAAAAGCAAGAAAAAAAAA